CAATAATTTAGTTTAGTAAAAATTAGCTTTAACTTTAATTAGAGATTTATGTTAAATATTTCTTTACAGTATAAAACAATGTATTCCCTACCAAACCTAAGAAAAGTAAATTTAAATGGTCTTTGTTTATTTTTGTTGAACAAACTCAGCCAGCAAATCAAGTGATCAACTGAAGATGAGGCATTGCTCCCCTGACACTCTCCATTATTTGTCGGATATTAGCAAAAAAAAAAAAAAAAAAACAGAATTCCTAACATTTTTGGGCTGCCATTTTCGGGGGGTTCACATTCATTCCATTTGCCGCACTCCCACAGCGTTTCTGGCAATTCAAATCGAGCTGGTCTACTCAGCCACAGTCGAAAATATGTTCATTTCTACATCTGCAGCCCATTTGGGGCTTCCTCTGTCTGTCAGAGCCACGCCCTACGCCCACAAAAACACACATACGCCCCGTTGTAACAGCTCTTTTTCCATCTTTCCCTTCTGCGTGTGCGTTCTTCTTTTTTCTCGTTTTTTTTTTTGCAGTTACAAATTATGCTCATATAAATTTTTATAAAACATTTCTGCCGTTGCCATTTTATTTTATGTTTCTTTTTGTTACAACTGCGTCTCACACACACACACTCTGGGTGGAGTAGGCAGCGAACAAACGCCTTTTCAGTTCAGTTCCTTTCAGTTTTTCCAGCTTTTCCGCTGGGTGGTCCGTCTCGGTGTCTGCAGCAAAAATGAAGAGCAATTCACACTTGAAAAGTTCCAGCATGCGTTTTTTAAGTTGCCCCAAACAACTATTATATGGCTCCCGCCCTTTGGGCTCACTAGTGCGATTTCTTTTTTGCTTTTCTCTCGCTTCTTTTTTTTTGGGGCCATCTGAACCTCTGAATATTAAGCAAAATGTGTGGGAATATGACGCAGTTCTTGGGACCATAAAAAAGGGTTCGGTGGGCCTTTGGCCTGTTTATTTGCCTAAGCTGACTAATTTAATATGCATAAATGCCGGCACATGTTTCATAAATGGCATTTTAAAGCGGCGCCCTAGCCGAAAATGGCTTCATTATCCTTCCCAGCTCTGAACTAATGGTTGACCCCGGAACTGAGCCCAAAAGGCTGAAACTGAACTGACTAAATATGTATATACTCTGGAATACATTTTAGCTTAGTTTGAATTCTTATTTATTTTATGTAATAAATTTTATTATATTTTATTGTGAAATTAAATGATTTCTTAAAATACAAGTACGTGCATTAAATATTTCTCGTTTAAACACTGCATTTGATTGTGCTGTGTGTAGTACATGTTACATGCTTCCACTTCCGGTTTGTGCAGACGACGACAAATGTACTTCCGCTTTCTGCTGCAGCAGCGGCAAAAAAACTGTTGCATGCTTTTGTGCGCAGCCAGTGAGATTTGCCAACAATGAACTCGAAATTAAATGTCATAATTAAACCAGTCACACAGCCGGGCATGGCAAATGCTAAACTGGGAAAATGGCAAAATGCTAAAGTGTCCAAAATGGCTACTGGCAACTCGGGCAATTGTCACAAACGCTGGCGATAAGCCGCAGTCTCTGACAGTTAGACGCCGTCCAGACAAAACATCTGCTTAAACTCTGTGCCACAATGTGTGCATTACCCATTCTCAACGAAAACAAAATACCAGCGGGTTTTACCATCCTGAGACAATGGCCCCCGGGTGGTCTCATCCCGGCTTTGGCCAACGGCTTGTGGCTGTCATTTTTATCTCTGGCCCATTGTCGCTTGCACAATGGAGTCCAAAATTTGTGCGTCATTATCATTTCGGTGAGGCTTTGCCTAGTCCTGTAAGGTTTTTATATATATTTTTTGTTGCCCTCAAATTGATTTGTCTTCTCGCTCGGCACGTACTCTGCCCTCTCTTTCTGTCCGTCAGTCAGTCAGGCAATTTGCATTTCGTCGCGTTTGAATTGCGCGGCACGTTGTTGCCTATTTGAATTATGTCAATAGAATTGCGTCTTCAATAAATGTCAATAGGCGGTGGATTGATGAAAGCCGAAATTTACAGCAACAGTTTTTATTTATTTTACTGCGAAATGATTGAAGTACAGTGAACACAGCATTGAAATTACAATTTTAATGTATTTTCCTATAGATCTTTTACAAAAGTAATACCTAAGTAAATGAAGTACCTATTTATTGGTGGATACACTTTTTGAAAACACTTTAATTCCATTATATATACTAGGATTGGTAACTCTATATAAAAAGCCAAAATCCCCCACACGGCATTACATTTCCAATCTTATTTTTGCTTTTATTAACAACACTTTATGGGAAGACCCAATAATATTTTGCTTTCAAACAGAGAGAAAGCCAAGTAACAAAGCCAAGCAATGGGGATGGCAATCGTAGGAGAAATAAAAGCTTATTGATTGCACCGGCGGCTAACACAATAGCTCTGAAACTAAAGCTTCACAGTGCAATTCGAAAACATAACAAAGGTTGCGATATATAAAAAGGGACCAAAGGGTGAGAAATCAAAGGTAGAAATGTGAAAAATTCAATGTAAACTTCAGTGCCGGAAAGCCAAAAACAATCAAACATTTTATTTAGTTTCCGTTGTGATTTTCCACTTTCTATACTCAAAGAAGAGCGTTGGTCAGGAAATACTTCTTGCTGTTTAAAACTATTTGGGTAAGCTTCAATTTCTTCCTATTTAAATTGTGTTTTAGGTGTTTTGCCCGCTTGGTTAAATGGCTTCATCTCTGACCGTCAAAATCCCCGCTCGGCACTTAACGCTTTGCCCTCATAGCCTGCTTAACGTTTAATGGCAACCCAAATGGCAGTTTTGCCTCCTCCATTCACGACAACATGTTTACAGCACAGTCCGTAGTGCGGCGGAGTAGGAGTAATAAAAAGAAATTATAAAATAATATTAACAATCCAGCAGCAACATTTAGAGCCGGACATGGAGCCAACAAAGTGTGTAAAGTGTAGCCAGCTGAGAAAAACACGAAAAATGGGTGACTAACTTTGGCAAGACGAAGTTTGGAGACTCTTTATAAAATAAAAATCTAAGTTTTTTGTTAGGAAATATTTATTTAATGTTATTTAAATAATATTATAATTTTAAAGAATTATTTATTGCAAATAAATGCGATGAGAGAGCCTTGTTACGAGTGTTTAAGTGCTCGTAATGAAGGATTAATATTATTTTTTTCTTATAACCCAGTTTTAAAGGTAACCAAAATTATATACTTGAATGATTATTATATTTCAAAAAATTATACAACTCCTTAAAAGGGTATTAAAAATAAGGAAAACAAAAATGGAATGAAATGGCAAGCCCTGGCATTTTACATTTATGGTTATGTGGGTGCAGCAGCTACACATGTATGTGCGAAGCTTAGGGGCTAAACTGCTGGAAAATAAAAGGATTGGAGAAAGGGGTGTGTGCCACTGCACACTGGTTGCATTAAAAGTGCACGTGTAATTAAGGTCAGCATCGTCGTCCAGCTAATTGGCCGAGCTGTACGGCAAAAAGGTCCACAGCAACTTTGTTGGTCATAACTAAATTTGTTTTTGTTTCCCCAGCCTAGGGCACTCTCTGTACATACTATACTAGAGTCACATGTGGAGCCACGATTCCTGGTATCCTGTTTCCTATATCAAAACCGCAAAAAGCTTTTAATCCGAGGCCAGGTAGTACTGGACAGTTGGACTCGTAAAGCCTTATCATAATCTCCATGACTAAGGGGAGGCATAAAGCCTATTCGACTGCGCAGAACAATGACTATAAGTAATTGTGTCTATAAGCTGGTGTAACTATAGTAATCGTTAGTTAAAGGTTAAGCTCCTTTAACTATGTCCTTAATCCTTAAGGAAACCATATAGTTTTTAGTTAAAAGAAAAAGCATTTGCTTTATCAGTAAGCAGCTTCATTTTCTTTTTTAAACTTAAGAATTTATCATAAATTAATATAAAAAGGAATTTAACATATAGGTAATGATAAAAATATCGATAAATATAGATTAAAGACAGATTATTTATTATTATTATTAGAGTTAATATGGAAATAGTAATATTTTATTAGAATTATTAGATTAACTTTGGAAATATTTCATAGTTATGTAAATATATGTTACTAAATATATATTATTTTATACATTCTGCTACTGGGTATCAATCCTTCCCTTTCCTTGACTGAATGTCCCTATTTTCAGCACAACTCATGATGACATATATCTCACTTTACTTTCCCTTACATTAGACTATATATTCTCCTATAAAAATACACACACACACACAAACATGGTGTCTATTACTCAGGAAAAGCCACAAGCCACACACACACACATCCCGAAAAAAGGGAGGAACAACTTTTATAATAAAATTATTTGTTTGGGCACCGAAATAGACAACTTTTCAGCCGTACATTTCATTTGTGCGAAATGTCACTCCGGGGCATACTTTTGCCGAAAACAACCTACAACCCAGGACGAGGGCCGGGACAGGACAAATGTTTTGGCAAATTCTCAGCTTCAATTCGGGAGCCCCCGTCCTGTGGGGGATTCCTCCTCCACAATTAAACACTTGCTGGCTGGCTAAACATTTGCATTTAAATAAAAATGCATTGGATTTTGTTGGCGCTTTTCATTAGCCCCGAGTATCCTTCCGTCTGCTTACTTGTCTGCCTTTCTGTTTGGCTGCCTGGCGCCCAAAGTGACTTTCAATGTAAACGTCGGGAGCTTTGTGCTGTTGACATTTGTGCGCCGCCAGACGACGACGACGACGTCGTCACAAACAACGTCACGAACTCACAGCCAGGCAACGTCACAACATCCCATTCCCGGTGACACAGACGACGGCAACAATTTGCGATAAACATCTCAGCGGTATGCAAATCCCTTTTAGGAATTGCACAGGAGAGCACTCCAACTAAAGAGCTGCCGGCGGAGAGGGAAAAAAGTGGGACGAGCCAAAGGACTAAGCCAAGAGTTAACCATTAAGCATTCTAGAAATTCACATTCAATGCGTTCCCCGCAGGGAATAAGCGGACCAGCGCCAGCTAGTGAAAATTAGTATTAAGAAGCCATTACGATTTCATACAGAGTCAGATAAAAATTAAAAATTTGTTCTTTCCGTCAAGCGAGTCAAACCGTGCAATTCGACTCAAAGATCGTGCACTTCTGATTGGCATCGCTTACGCGGTCTCCTTGGCTCTCGTCCTTGATTTGGATGGATTCTAAAACATCTCCTAAAGTCTACTTATCGTAAAAGCGCCGCCAGTAGGCCCACACGTCACACAAATTGGCCGTCTTTTCGCACTCGCACGGCGGTATGGGATCGAGCAGGCCCACTGGCTTGCACTCCGAGAAGCTCGGGTACTGGGTGCGTCGCTTCTTGCAGCAGGAAGGCGGAAATATTTGTTTACAACTCGGGTCTGCCCGCGCAGGTTTGCAGCCAGGCGCCACGATCTTGCAGCAGGGCCACTCCGATCGCTTGATATCGACTAACTTCTCGGGCTTTCTGCGGCCCGCGGCCTTAACATTCGTGGCCTCAACGCAATCCACCTTGGTTCGACTCCGAGCCAGTTTGCGCCGCGGCCGATTGGGATAGCATTTCTTCATCTGGACAAACTTGTTCGGCAGAACATAACACTCGCACCAGGTGCGCTGGTACTTGCGCTTCTTCTTGTCGCTGGGCGTGTAGTGGTCCAGGTCCATGGGCAACTCTTCCATGCCACAGGGGTCGTCCAGGCATTCCTCGATCATGAGCTTGAGCCGCGGCTGGTTGCATCTGTTCTCCGAGCGAATCAATGCCTTGTAGCAGGGCTCAGCTTCAGGAGGATTCTCCTTCAACAGCTGAAGACGCCGCTTACGCATGCCAAGCTTCTTATCTAGGGCATACGTGCGCGTTATCTTCATTGCTGTCGTCTTTTTTTCCTGCGCCATCAGCGAACGCGACAGGAACTGCCGAAAACTGATCATAACTATATATGTTTTTTACAATTTTGAATTTAGAAAATTTTGTCCAAAAAAAAGGAAGAGCCAAAAAAGAGACAATCGTTCACATGCTCACCGCTCTGCGTGTTGAAACCGTATGAGTTTGGGTATAGCAACAAACTGCTGACAGGGGCTTGGCTCGGAAATCCAAGGCTTACTTGGGCGAAGCTTCTCATGGGTCCATGGATTTTTCGGAAATAGTTTATTTTGGTTTTATTTTATTCAATTTCTGAGTGTTCTGCTGTTGAAAAGTAGATTCAAGGCAGCCATGCCTAATATTAAACGAAGGTAAAGGAAGATCTTGAAATTAATTAAATCATTAAATTAACCATCGAAGAAAATAAGTGGGCATACTATCATCTACATATATATTGCTTTGTTAATCTTTCTATAAATATATAAATATTTCAGAATATCGTAGAGTCTTTCAATTGTCTAACAATATTAAAGGGAATTGAATACTTTCCCATATTCCCCTTGTTTTTATGAATTCTTTATCTTTCTATATAAATACCCTTCGAAACTAAAGATGTCTCGTAGATGTTAATGATGTACCTAAGATGTTCTTTAATATTGTATAGAAATACATTCTTAGGAATAGACATTTTTTAAATAGAATATCATAGAGTAATAGTATTTCCCCATCTTTTATATTATTATAAAACCCTCAAATCAAAATGCTTCTATTAAGGAATATACTAATGTATTTAATGATTTGCTTTAAAAGAAATCCAAGCTCGAATCTCTCCGAAGTCGCCACTTGCCGAAATTTGAAATTTTAGATTTTTCCCCTTTCGCCGTTTGTGAAGTAGATGCAGAGATACCATCCCGGTTGCCATTGAATCACCACAATAACTCAGACGACCTCCGCCAGAGATCCCTATTTGCATTCGTCTAAGCCCGTGTCAAGCTTCTGGCAGGGCATTCGCCTGTTCATCGCTCTGAACCTGAACATATCGCACATGGAGGGCACTTGCAGGCAGCGGCACTCGATCGGCCGGCTGACTGTCAGCTCCTCGTGTTGGCACTCGGAAAAGCTAGGGTACAGACACGGCCTGCGCCTACACCTTTTATGGCGCGGGGCTAGCCGACAGTTGACTTGAGTGTTATGCAGGGGACCACAGCCGCAGACCTGGATTTTGGGACACCGGTTATCCGTTTTCTCCAATTTGCAGGGCATGGGATAAAGCGTCTTACAGGGCGCCTTCTTTTCTATCTTATCACACTTTCCCAATACACGATAGGATCTCTCTGGTGGGACCTTGCGGCAGCAACGCTTCTTCTTGCCGATAGAGCACTCGACCCAGTATCGATCGAACTTTCGATCCAAGCTGGCACTGGGTCTGTACATGGTGTCGTCCAATCTGACGGCCATTAAGCATGGATCCAAGCACTCTGGCTTGAAGGGGATATCGCATCTGGCGTATTTACCCAAATCCTTTGGATGCTGCAGCGCCAGCTGTCTGTCCGTCCTGCAGGGCTCCAACTGCCGGTAAAACTTGGGCACTGGCTTTTGTACGGGTCTGCATGCCTCCGATTTGGTCTTGCTTGGCCGGTATTTGAAGCACTTCTTATGCTCTGACTCGGAGTGAGTGTGACGGAGTACAGCTGGAGCTGCATCATTGATCAGGAGTTTGGGCCGCAGTGGTGTCGAATTTTTAATCAAAATATTTTTAACCAAAAACATGACGAAACGCTAATTTTGAAACGGTTTCGAGGTTAAGGTTGGGAGAAAAAAAATTTTGGTTGTTTGTGGCGAAAGATGGAGTTGGATCTAAGCCTAGATCCCTAATGCTTATAGGTAGTTGACGGGGAAGTAAGGTCCTAAGCTACCTTGATTTGTTATTTTGTTTACGTTGGAATTCTGGAAAATTTGTGAATCCCTGCCATGTTGTTCCTGCATTTTTCGGAAGCTGTCGCGCATCGCACACGTTCCGGAGTATGCTCCAAATGGGTTTTCCTTGTCTATTCTGAAGTTAATTGCCAAATGCATTCGATGCCGTCTGCCTTGATTTGCCAGGAAACAATAAAAAAAAATATATATACAGACATGGCCTTCACTTTTCCTGCATTTCGGGCCCAACTTGTTTGCAAGTTAAATGCAAACAGAGCGAAGCACGAAATAAAAAGAAAAATCCAATTGAAATCGCAGTTTCCCCCACTGGCAAAAAAACTCAAACAACAGAAATCCACTAGAATAAGTATACGCTCCAGGGGCAGTTTTCGCTTTTACGCCGATACTTTCATTGGGCTCGATGCCCCGAAAGCCTCGTGTACCCAGCCTGAGTGGCCATGCATGAGGGAGCCCATAAAATTGGGTCAATTGCTGTTAACAATTTGGCAGCGCAATCTTTTTGGCCGGTTTCGATTTCAAGGCGTTCCCCAAAACACAAAAAAATCAAGAGAACGAAAACAAAAAAATATCAACGCGGGCCCATAAAAAACGAGCACGTACGGGGGCAAAACCTTTTGCAAAAAACAATTTCCGCATAGAGTTGTTGGCCAGGAAAAACGATGCTGCTGCTGCAATCGCAGCGAACCCGCGGGAAAAGCGCGGTGGAGTGGAAAAGGGGGCAGTCTAAGCGGGGGGGAAATGCTCAAGTGGATGCTACAAAGTTGAACCAAGTGGACCCAGTGGTCAGGGGCCTGTACGCTAATTAATTAGTGCATTTTGTTTGTTATTCATTGTACGAGAGCATTTCAAGCAGGGCCGGCTTAGTTTCCCAAAAGGGCAGCAGTCAAGTTTCACTCCCCCAGCCGACTTTCAAGAGCTGTTGGCTCATAAAGGATCGTGCTGCATCCACCAGCTGGGCCATCACTTTCCCTAATCAACTGCTGCCTGGTTGAGAAGTCGACCCCAATACGCCAGCTTTTGTTGCCTTTGAGTGACTGCCAATGAAGTTGTTGCCTCTGACAGAGCCACCCTTAAAGCCGAAATGGACTGCTCTGCACTCCCCCTTCCAAATGATTTCATTTACTTGCAATCAATGAAATTGCACTGATGCAATTTTGTTCTGGCCCCCCAAAATAAACTGCAGAGGAGGAAGGGAGCTCGGTAACGGACTGAGGGATTCACGGAATGCGAATGGCAATGGCAAGAGTAACAGCTGAAGTAAGAGCAACTGCTGGCAGAGGGGTCACCTCAGTCTGGCTGACACGCGTGCCTGGCAGCCGTGACAGGATTTGGTTGGCAGCCGGGAGCAGCGGCTAATGTCTGGCGACAGTCCGTATCCGGATCCCCGGGAATACCCGTGGAATTTCTCATATCGCAGCCAGACACGTAGCCTGCAACTGTGTGTGGACTGTGGATTGGGTTCGAGACGGAGAGAGATTTGTGAAAGATGTCAGGGCAACGCTGTGCCAGAGTCGAAAAATGAGCAGGAATCGTAGGCGGAGGTGAGTGTAGCCCGCGACGACCCTCTGTGGAACTACCTTGTCCGTCTCCTCCTCCAGCCATTCCGACATTGCAACGTCCTCGGAGGAAGAACAGACCGCTGCTCCTGACGAACCAAATGCAAATCGCGAGGCGATTCCTACTCTGTCAAGTCGGGAGAATGACAATGGGACGGCTGCTGACCGCCAGCAGCCTTCTTGGGAGCTTGATGTGGCTAAGGCGGGCTGCAGCTCCTCATCGTCGACCCACAGCACGCAGGGGGAGCCAACTAGAGTTTTGTTTTACAATATTCGCAGTCCCTCTGCTAGACGACACTTTCCCCACATACTTGTGGAGGCATCGAAGGAAACTAAAGACAGGGAAAGCGATGTCAACGCTCCGCAGGAGAAAGCTGATCCCCCATATAGAACCGATATAACGGAGCCCATATCTGAGTTGCCTTATTTGGAGCCCAAATTTACCCAGCCTAGTCGAGATGCAGATGAAAAAGAGCCTTCATTCTCATCAGAGCCCAGCTGGACAGGCTCTCTTTGGTCGAGGATGTCACGCCTGATAAGCTCCGCTAAGTCAAGATCTGAGTCGAGCTTAGAGATGGCTCCTTCACAAGGCGGGGTGAGCCTCAGCGAAATGGATGAATACGATAGGGAGGAGCCACTTATTACCAAGACGCAGAAGTATTACAAGAAGAGTAAGTGGAAAACTAATTACAAGGAATAGTTGCTCAAGCTAAACCTAAGTAATTGGTATGTTTTTTTGGTAGGACCCACTTTAATCCCGATTTTCGATGACTCTGAGGAGTCGTCTCTTGTTTCTTTTGAGAGGCAAAATAATGATTTACCTTTCAAAAGAAATACTTTACTCTCGGCGGACATCGATTCACCGGAAGTCTTAAGCGATTACACAGCAGAGCCGCGGATAGCAAACCTTGCGGATACACCTTTGAGCTCCGAAGAGACACCTAGCGCGGTAGTCAGCGACCGGAATCTGCCCGAGGGTACGGTTTTTGTAAGTCAGTGGTTTGCCAGATGAACCGCTGATCCGTTGACCTTGTGTCGTCCGCAGATTTACATGGTGATACCGCCGGACGGTGGCTATGGCTGGTTAATCATGGTGATTGGCTTCTTGTGCCAGCTGATTGTCGACGGCATCCTCTTGTCCATTGGAGGCATCCTGCCGGAAATTGAACAGGAGTTCAATGCCATCAAGTCCCAAATGGTGTTGGTGGGTAGCGTCCAGATTGGCTGCTACTACCTGAGCGGATCCTTTGCCAGCATTCTGATCAATCGATTCGCCTTCCGGCCAGTGGCCATCAGCGGAGCCTTGTTATCCATGCTGGCCGTCGTCGCCGGCAGCTTCAGCCCAAACCTCTACGTACTGATCCTGGTCTACAGTGCGATTGGTAAGCTGGGTCGAGAGTACATTACTTGGCTAAATAAAAATAGTTGAACCCGCAGGTGGCTGCTCCCTGAGCCTGATATGGTGCAGCTCGCAGCTGATCGTGGCCTGCTACTTTGAGCGCTATCGTCCGGTGGCCAATGGCTTCGCTTGCAGTGGCGTCGGAGCCGGGGCCTGCGTATTCTCGCTGCTCAACAACTGGCTGGTGCCGATCATTGGCTGGCGGAACATGCTGCGAGTGCAGGCGGGCGCACTCTTGTTGGTCGTGCTGATGACCATCGCATACGTGGAGGTTCGCCCCGTCAAGGTGGGCATGTTGCCGGAGAATATTCTGGACTCGAGTTCGGATGAATACTACGGAAACTTCTACGTGCATTACTACTTACGCGGGTCCCAGAAGACCCCAAGTTCCAAAAGCTTGCTTAGCCTTTATGATCCAGACCAGGACCAGAGCAAGTGCTGCCCTTGCTGCAGAAAGTGCCTAAAAAGGCGGCGGGAGCGCAAGGAGCAGGTGCGTCGCGAAAAGAAGCGCAATATGATTATCCGGACGTCATACATTGAGCGCGAGGATCTCTTCTACACGGGACCCGCCGAATATGAAAAGCCGCACTCAAGGGAAACCCTCGAGGGCAAGGAGATCCAGCTATTGGGATCGGAAAAGAGTGTAAGTAGTGACTTCCATTGTATCCATTAGTTGTAACTTCATGACTGCCCGGCAATACAGACCCAACAGGCCAACTATGGCATTCAGCATATCAACAAGGGCGAGGATAGAAGAGCTACGGCTGAATCTATCGAAAGAGGAGTCCCAAAGAAACGCTGTGTGGAGAGCAAGTTCATGAGAATGCTCTCCCGTCTCTTTGACTATCACCTCTTCAAACAGTTCGAGTTCCGGATCCTGGTGGTCTCCGCATTCCTCTATCCGATGGGCTTCAACATACCCTTTGTCTACTCCAAGGCCCGCACCAAGATTCACAAGGACTATGCCAACTTGATAACCCCGGCCATTGGATTTACCAACTTTACCTGCCGTATCATCTGCGGTTTCGTGGCCTATAAGCGACGGACCTGGACAACGAATATATGCGGCGGGGGCTTGGTCTTTGGTGGCTTCTTTGTCTTCTTGAGCGCCTTCTTTGGCCAGGATCTGGTGTGGTTCCAGATGCTCTACGGGATCTGTTACGGCGTGGCACCAGGTGGGTAAACCTTGATTTACTGTGGATTTTTTTTTAGTAATTTGAATTTAAATTTAGCTGTTTACGCCACTCTGCGGGCCATAATTTACGTGAAATATCTGGGCCTGGCCAAGCTCACCAATGCATTTGGGATCACAGCTCTGGCCATGGGCATTGGCGTCTTTAGCGGCACAACAATTGCCGGGTGGCTGGTGGGCGATAGTCTCAATTACACGGCGGCCTTCGTATTTGCCGGATTGTGCCTCATGAGCTCCGGAATGCTGAAGCTTATGTTGCCGTCGTTGGTTAAGTGTCACTATCGGCAACTGAACAGGAAGCGGAAAAGCAGCCGCAAAACTGTACGGCCAAGAAAATTGGAGCTGGTTCAGTGAGGAATTGTATTTATTTTGAGATTTGGATTTAGTTAACAAGAGATGTAACAATTTTCCTACCTTTTCACCTTTTGTATAGTGTTAAAAAATTGGAAATAAATGATTTTATATTACCTTTTTGGTTGGCTGAAAAAGAACTATTAATATATACCCACAGTAAAGATATAGGTTTATCCAAAGAATAACTTAAGTTTTGGTTTCTTTTTGGGGTTGACTTTTATTGCAATCCATTTAAAGTTATTAGTTAGCTTAGTTTACATCTAATATTAGCTTAGTTGCTGAACTACACACATTGGGTCCACGCTTATAGTTTCCCGTGTGTGGTTGTATTTGGTTTTTCACTTTTGGTTTTGTTTCCATTTTTCCTTGTTTGGGTATGCAAATTTTCACGCTTTCTTCTGTTTCCTTCTCCACTTTGATTTGCTTTCTAAACTTTGTACGTGTCTACTGTTCAAATTTCTTTTCTCTGTTTTTGGTTTTTTTTTTTTCTTCGTTTCTCATATTTTATCATGATGATTTTTTACATATTATTTAGAGCTAAAGCAACCAAAGGATCAATGTAAATCAAGATGAACGCATAAACCCAAAAAATGTTCAAGACAAATGGCTTTTATCCTCTTTTTGTCCTCTGTCTAAATCCTTTTTGTGTTTTAAATATTGTCAGTAGTCTTCCCATCTAGCCATTGCCGTTTTCAATTTATTCCACCTTCTCGCCATCATCATGGATGTCTCTGCATTTGCGGGCTGCTCTAAAATCAATTTCGTATGATAATCTAAATTTAAATTAAAATCTCATGGCGGGATGATCCACACTGTCCCCCAAAATGGCCTGGCTGGTCTTTCTTGTTCACACAGAAAAAGCAATTCTTACGCCTTAAATTAAAATTATATTTATATCGCCTGGGCCGCCACCGCCTTCACGGGGTTCGTTCATGTATCGGAATCGGACCTGGAATGGAAGTGGAGGATATGACTTTTCTTATTCTGGAAAAGAATATCAATTAATGGCCTCTTACTTACCAATTAAAATAGGTCTGCGACCCGTGACAATTGCGCTCGGTGCCGCACCACTTGGATTGCTGGAGCGCCGGACAGGGTCGTCCTCCTCGCTTGCCATGCTTGATCACCTTGCGGTAGCGATGCATCTCGCCAATGCCGCAACTCTTGCTGCAGGCCGTCCACTCGGACCAGTGGCTCACCCGGCAGTCGCGGCGCCTCTGTGACGAGCTCCTCCGGCGGGAGGACGGGCCACCGCCGCCGGCTCCATTTGTGGACTGCGACTGGGACTGGGTCAGGTTGGAGGTATTGAGGCTGTTGCCGGAATCCGTGGCACGCCGATAGCTGCTGGCAATGCTCTGCAGGATGGCATGCTTGTCGTTCTTGGGCACCACGCTGACCACCTGACCAGGAGCCGGCTGCTGGCTATTGTTGTAGCTGTAGCTGCAAGGGAAGAGAGAAATATTTTTAAGTGACTTTGGTTGAAGGAATGTTGGAAGTTAATTAGGAGGCCTATGATTACCCATCTTTCACTTAAATTTTATAAGAAAAATACATGAAAATACCATCAATTTACTTAAATAATACTTATTTTCCCTTTTAACTTTATTCTACAAGTGGTTTACGTTGGGAAAAGTTAGACCCAAACTCCTTGTGGCATTTAATTTCCTACTGAATTTGCTTTGGTGGCTTAACTTTGCCATATTACACATACGCCCTGTGTGCCTGGCTTCCTTTTTTTTCCGGCCAAGGTGTGCCTGCCGTTCGTTGCCTGCTCACGTTTGTTATTTTAGCACATCAACTGTGGAAAATTTCAATTTAAATTTGCCTTTTGCCAGCCTTCGTGCCTGACAGACACTGAGCCTGGTAGAACCACAGTCCCAAGCCGGGTCCCATCCCATCCCATTCCATTCCCGAACTCGATCCACGAGGTTTGGCTGTGGCGCTGCCTGGCTTCCTTCCTTCCTTCCTGGGCAACTTCCGTGTTTTGTTTCCTGCAGTTTTTCGTTTATTTGCATACACATGCCGCCGCCGCCGTCATCGCCTCCGCCGCTTGCAAAATCGCGCAAATAATAATAAAAAATCAAAAGGCAGACGGAGCAGGACGAACAGGCGCAGTCAGACACTGACGAAAGGAGAGTGAGGCAGAAGGAAGGAGCAGGCAGCTGGAGCAGGACTGGCAAATAAATTGGCAAAAAATATTGAAAGACCCAGAGAAGGAACGCGAAAGCGCCATGGGCCCGACGAAAATAATGAGGAAAATTCCCAAATTGAAATTACATACAGCATTTTTCCTCTTTTTTTTTCTCCTTTTCCATTTTCAGTCTGAAAAAGACGAGTACCTTTAGCAGGCTTGAATTTTCTTCCTGGGAACGTGGAAGTTATTAGCGACAATTTGCTTCGATCATGTTCTTGGCAATTACCGTTAGATGAGCACATCAAAATGTATTAAGTAAATGTTGTTTCACGAGCAATTTTCATTTGCATTTTCACACAGCTGGCTCAGCCGGGGGAAAAGTGACTCAGGGCCCTCGGACATGTGATGGGGGGAAATTGCTCATCAAGTCGAGGCGAATTTGTTTTTCAAATTGCAAAAAGCGTCAGCAAAATCGGATTAATATAAAGTAATTTGTTTGACTCACAATGCATAATTAAACTGACAATTGTTTCAAATTTAATAGTTTTCAATTCAATTACTTTAATATATTTGTCGGGAATATTATTGGAAAATGAGAAAATCATCAGGGAAATATTAAATTATGGTGCAGCAATTATTAGTTATAAACTTAATATTGAAATACAAAATAGAGCAATAACTTTATATTTTCAAACCAACAAAGTTGTGACAGGCATAAGGAAGTTTTTCTATTTATATTATTAAGAGTTGTATTTCGTCTCAAATATTCCTCAATTCTAGCCTCTTTTTCCAATAATAGTATATTTTATTTAACATAACAGTAACACGAATAAATTATTTTATTTCACTAATATAAATCGTACAAACATAGTTCATAATTCTATATAGCAACACACAAATACACAGTTTTCCATTTTCGATCAAAAATCAGAGAATCGTGCAGCAGAAGACCTCTCCAGAGGGTTGGGCATACACTGTGGCTACTGGCGGCTGGGCACCCACCACAACAGTCTGTCTCATGGGCGGCGGACCCACAACCACGGGCGGTGGCGGGGCTCCAATGATCACAGCTGGCGGCGGCGGCGGAGCAATCACTACGGGCGGAGGAGCAAATCCAATGCCCACTCCCATGGGAGGTGGACGTGGTGGTCCTCCAATGTTGATACCGACATTTACACGAGGCGGCGGTGGTCCGTAGGCGATTCCTGGACCCTGGCGAGGTGGTCCTCCGTAGCCACGTCCTGGAGGTGGCATCTTGACCGATGGCTAACGACTGACTGGCCAGCACTTTCTGGACGAGTGGCTCCTAGGGTTCAGCCATAGCTCTTATCTTCGCCGCCGCCTCGAGTGGCCGCTGGTAATTAACTATCAATTACTGTGATTTCTATTCTTTTTTTATTTTTGGGGGCTTCTGTTTCTTCCGCTGATTAGATATGCGATAGGCGAAAGCGGGGGAGCTTACACCTCCAGGCTGATAAGAGAAACACCCGGTTAGCGATAAGATTTCGTTTAATTAAATGTATTTGATATGGTTGTGATATGGTTCTGATTCATGGGTTTCACTTGCCTTGCCTTGGGGGAAGCCCCTGACCTCGGGATCTAGGAAATGGTGCATTTGCAAGGGCAACATTTACGTTTAGGTGGCTCTGCTGCTATGTCCCTCTTCTGCATGGGCGTCTCCGTTGGCTGCTCCTGCTGCTTTTGAGGATTATTCTCCTGGGTCAAGGCCGCACTCAGGGAATATCGTTTGCCGAACTTGTCGTTACTCTGCTCGGAAATCTCACCCACCAAAACTGTGCCAATGGGAGTGGGAGGCTCCACAATCTCCTCCGTGATTTCTATGACTTCCGTAACATTGCCGTTCGGAGAGGACTCCACCAGAATTTCTCTTTCCACCACTTCTACGACGGGAGGATCGTCTATAACCAAATCGGTTAGGATAAAGCTATTAAGTGGCTTTGCCTTTGGTTGCGGATTGGCAGGTGGTGGGCTTGGGGTTGGAGTAACATCCACAGACTCCACAATTATCTCCTGTTGAGGCTGGTTTGGTGGCGGTAACCTCAGTTTCAGTGGAGGAGTGGGCGGAGGACTGGGCGTTGGGGTAACATCCAGGGATTCCACTATCACTGCCGTTTCCGCCAGGCTTGGTCGCGGTACAAAACCCACCGCGACAGGTTCTTCCAGTGAAGGACTACGTGGTGGTGTATTGATTGGTGTAACTTCAACAATCTCCACATATGCCTCGGCTTCGCTCAAGCTCTTAACTTCCACCTCGGGACTTTGCTGAGCTGTGTAGTACGAATTGACTTCCTCAACTTCCACATAGTTATCGGCTTCGATAAGACTCTCTCGGGAGATGAAAGGAAACTGTTCGGGCGGAGGCGATGACGTTGGTGTAACCTCTAGCGATTCCACAACCAGTTCCTGCACCATACTAGAGCGGGGCATAATATTAGTGGTTACCACCGATCGTAGTGGAGGATCTTGGATGACTTCAACCTCTTCCACAATTTCTGGCTCTTTTTCAATTTCGATATTTTCAACAATACTTTCAACAAAGCCCGCCTGGGGAATTATATCAATTTTAACTGGAGGAGGAATATTAGGACTTACTTCAGCTACTTCTATGTCTTCTACAATGGATTCCACGTAGCCAGATCGAGGTGGAAAGCCAATAGGAAGAGGTGGTCTTACGGGTGGATCATCCTCTTCTGTGGTTTGTATATTTTCCACAATAGTTTCTACCAAGCCAGCCCTAGTAGGGATATCAATTTCAATAGAAGGTGTAACTGGAGGACTCACTTCTTCTGTGACCTCTATAGTTTCTACAATAGATTCTACCAAGCCAGATTGAACCGGAACAACTGGCTGTGGAGGTTCCACTACAGGTGCAACTTCAATGGTCTCCACAATTGATTCCACGAAACCAGATCGAGGCAAGTATTCACTTTGCCCTAAAGGCCTTAGTGGTGGTTCAACTTCTGTAGTGATTTCTATATTCTCTATTATAGATTCCACATTGCCGGGCTGAGGATTAAATCCAGTTTGGACGGGTAGCAGGAAGGGAGGATCCACTTCTTGAACTTCAATATTTTCCACAATCGATTCCACAAAATCTGCCTTGGGAACTGCACTTTGAACTGGGATTTGTACAACAGGTTCCGGTTGTGTGATTTCTATATTCTCAACAATGGATTCTGAATCGAAACCATTGGCAGGCAGCAGGAATGGAGAATCAGCTTCTGTCGTAACATCAACAGTTTCCACAATGGTTTCCTCTTCGGAATCGAAACCATTAGTAGGGAGTAGAAATGGTGAGTCTGCGTCTATAGTTTCCGTAACAGATTCAACTACTACATCCATAGGCTCCACTAAACCTCCTGACCGAGGATAAAAAACCTTTGGAGCTGGAGCTGGAGCCTGTAGGGCCTGGGATGCTGCAGCCACTTCAATATTTTCTATAATTCTGGCCACAAATCCCGGCTGCGGAATGAATTCGGGTTCCTGTTCAATCTGAGCTGGAACTATAGCTGCAACTGGAGCTGGAGTTGGAGCCGGAGCAGCAACCACTGTCACTGTCTCCACAACGGTCTCTGTGGGAACTAGATTCACCCGTGGAATGTAAGAGAATGGAGCAGGATCCTCTGATCCCACAATTACATCCGTTTGCACCACTTCAGCGATGGGGGAAAGCGAAGAAGGCTGCTGAGCTCCCGACGGAAAGAAACCCGTCTGCACTTTAAGCTGTGGCGGTGCATAAGCCGGAGGATCCACTTGGTCAACGATGATTTCCTCCTGCACCACTCTTGTATGCTTCAGGGATTCCCTTGTGGTCTCCTTGGTCTCCGTTTGCCAGACAACAGTTGTGAATTCGTCGGAAGCTGAAGTGGTGTCCAAAATCTCCTCGGCTTCCTTCTCCACCGAGAGATCCAAGTCCGTGGAGGGATTGGGCGAGGGCTGGGTCCAAAAGGCTTGGGGTTTCCAGACCACATTAAAATCCACTTCGTCCTCCTCGTCGGTGGGCGTGAGGAATGGCGGAGAGGTCTCTGGCAGAGGGGGCGGCGGCGATGCCTTTTGCTTGTGATGATGATGATGATGATGCTTGCTCCGAGGCTTTGGTTCTGTGTCCAAAACAATCACCTCCTCCGTTTCCACAACTTCAACATTCTCCTGCCGCTGGTGATGATGATGGTGCCGATGGTGATGGTGATGATGCCGTTGCTTTGGTGCCGGGGATCCCTCGTTGATGTTGACCACCTCGATGGTCTCCTGGATCGTGCCACTACTGGTGGCTATCGTTTCTATCGTTTCGTTAACACTTCGCTCCTCCACGATGGTCGTCTTCATTTTGTCTCGTTCGTTAACCATAACTGAAACCTAAAATGCTTTGTTCGGCCCATTTATACTCGATGTTTATGTCATTGGAAATATATTTTCATGCGTTAAATCCTTGGTTACAGATAAGATAGTTACTATATCTATATCTAAGCAATGTGGCAACTATTTGTCTTCGACCCCGACGGCTGCTGTTGTTGTTGCTCTTCTTGTGCTTTTTGCTGTTGGTTTTCGGTCTCTAAAAAAAAAATTGTTTAGGCTTATGCTTTGACCATAACATTTTCGACTGGCTTTTCCATTTTCCTTACTGTTAATTGAGTTTGCGGAATTTTTCGTCTGCCGTTGACGTCGCTGATTGTGGTTGGCTGCTCCGGCGATTACCGTGAAAGTGGCTGGCGGGATTCCGGACATGTTGCTGGCACTTAACTCTTCGTCTGATTACACTCGATGGCCGGCCATTCCTCCAGTTTTATAGGCCACCCGCGACGACATCGACGACGACGGTGGCGGATCCATCGATAAGATAGTAATTACTACAGAACTGGTCCGCATGCGAGTTTGGTATTTGGCAGACTTATCACGGTTGCCGCCTTCCTTTGGCCTCGCCTTTGTTTCCGCCCCTGTCAAAGTGCCAGGAGAGGCTCGCTCTTGGCACTCGAACACGTCCCGTGATTGTCATTAAATATGCAGGTTACCAGTGCCAATGGTGCCAAAATCCACTCGGCCAAAAGTGGCACAAAAATAGACCAGAGCGGGCCGGAAGGGAAACAGTGGAGCCCGGGCTCAGTGCTGGATGCTGGATAAGACTGGAACTGTTAGCAGGGATTAGTTTGTAGTTCGCCTCTCGCCGAGTTTTCTGGGGCGGCTTTTTAAAGATGCAGCATTACCCAGGTACGTGCCAGCAGGGCTGCTGCTCGTCCTCCTCCTCAGAAAGTGGTGTAATGCGCCTTTGGAGTGTGCCAGAAAAGCTGTTTTCTTTCCACCCACTCGTTGCTCGTTGTTTTTCCAACAGCTCGGGGCTTGGCACGTCGCTTTAAATATGTGAATGCGAATATCCTAGCATGAACATATATCCCAGAGTGTTGAAAGTAGTTGGTCTTGAGTTAGGGGAAAGCACTTTGCGCATATGTTAAATAGGGCCAATTGAGGCTCTTTCTGCACTCCAGAACAGATTACGTATACGCAATGTGGCATTTAAAGTTTAGTCTTGGCCTGAAACTTAAACTTAAGCCGGTTACGCGTTTAATGTCAACGCTTGCTTAGTAAATACTTTGGATAATAGTTCTAACAGAGAATAAATATGTTGTTACACTGGGGCCCACCCGACAATATCTTTTGATTAATCATTTGTTTTTGTCCATTGATAAAAAAAAGATAACGTTTTTTTGTACCCGTTTGTTTATGGTGTGCTTAACACACTGACATTGTAATATTATTCCGGAAATTCAAGGCTGTGGAGCCCTGAACTGGCTGTTTGTAACTAACTCAAGAAAAAAGAGCTTAAATCTGATAAATTAAAGTTATTTTTTTAATATTAACAATAAGATAGAAATGAACTGGAAATTATTGTACAAATTTCATTAAGAATGCTTTATTAGCTATAAAACAGAGCTAAGTAAGAAATCATTAATGAATGTTTGATATATAAAAAAACATATGACTAATTTCTTATCTTTGTTTCTCAGGCTGACAGACTCTCATGCTTAGAAACAGAACCATATTTTGGGAAGTCAAACAGCGAATGATTGCGATTATATATATTTCAAATCGAAATAAAAATATAAAATTATATAAACGTTCAAGGGAAGTTTTTATTAAACAATTCCTAAACTTAAATTCTAATATTTTTCATTGACCAATTATTTCCCCCATCTTACCCCTAGTTCAGCTCAACAAACTTATAACTTTAGTCACATTTATGGCACTTACATGGGATTCATTTTGGCCAACAGCTGGGAGCGAATGCGCTGCCTCTCGTCATATTGCTGCAACTGTTGCTGCTGCTGGTGCTGTTGCTGCTGTTGCTGCGACTGTTGCTGCTCCGTTTGCCGCTCCCGCTCGATGCTGGCGGAGAGCTCGTTGTTCATCTCGACGTGGTTGTGCTCCGCATCCAGGTGTGTCTGGGTCTGGACCGTTTCGTACTTGCGATCGTCCTCGGCAATGTTGAACACCTCGCTCAGCTCGTACTCCTTCAGCTGAAAGGACACGGCGGAGAGGGGGAATGAGAAGGAATGTTAGTCCCCAGGTCCAGACACATGTGCAGCATATTAATTTACGGGGATTATGTGCCCGGCATTGGCAACACTGTAAGCGGGATGCGTGATGCCAAATGCCAGGAGAGGTAGCAGGACATGGCAGCCAAGGACCGCGAATGGGGACTTGGGACTGGGACCCGGTGTACAGGTGCTCTTAACGCGCTGCTAATTTCAATTTGTGGCAAATATTGACACTGCCACAGGGGTGCAGCAGGAGTGGCAAGGAATGGCCAGGAATGCCAATGGGACGAGAGGGTCCTGAAAATCCGGCAGGATTTTGGTTTAGACACAAGGGAATTCCAGGAAAATGTGCCCCTCGGAAATGGTACATTATAAAAATCAAGGATCTACTTGAAAAATATATAGAAAACTAAGTCAGATTTAGAAGGTGAAAGACTTAAGTTTTTTTATATCGAAATTCAGATTAAAACAGAACTTTCATTTAGAGTATTTCAAGCACGACGCTTCTTTCTGAAAAACTTGAAAGTTTTCCCCCAAAAACACTCTACTTCTTCCGACCTTCTTCCCAAACGATATACCTCATTTTCGCAGACATTTCGAGGGTGTGGAAAACTTTGTTTGGTGCGCTGTCGCGCATTTTAATTTATTTGTTTGGGCCGCTGTCATTTTCTATACACAATACGCAGTGTTATTGTTGTCCCCTCTGCTTTCATTCCCTCTTTTTTTTTCGGTGGCTTATCTTGGTCTACCTTTTTGGAACCAGTGGAAGGCAGTACCTACATTCTGCAAATGCGTCGACAGCGGCGCCAACAACCACAAACAAAAAGCGTAAAAAAGTAAGAAAAAAAAGAAAACAATACAGAAGAGCCGCGTGTTGCTTTTGTGGCATTAAAATACACAATAATCCAGCACACACAAAAAGCTAGAACGCGGCAAGAGGGGGGTCCCTGGTTGGGTCTTGTTGGAAAAACTGTGAAATTCCTTGTGGATTACCCCAGACGGCGAGTGAAACCCCCCGAATTCCTGGCTGCCGAGATTACGTGCCTTTTGCCATTTTACCATTCACTAAATGACACACAAATATTCCAGCAATCCGGCCTCGGCCGCACAAAATTTAAGAATTTAATGCTCCCAACTACCTCGATTTAGGGGGGAAGCAAATCAACACATAATTACACTAGGACCTGGGACATGTGCTGGCCATAAAATAAAGCATATAAGTAAATAACTTTCCATTCTGTTGGCCATAAACAAAAGTCGGTTCTGCCTTGGGTGGTTGCGGCTGCTTCGACAATAATGAAAATGCCAGACTATTTGTCTCGAAAATACGAATTTCGTTTGCCCTGAGGGTCTATAGTTTTACAGAAGGACCTGCAAACACGGTCTGCTGACCAATAAAAGACGAAAACTAAAACAAATAAGCTTAATTAGTACTAGGAATTTAATTGAATTTCATAATTAATTAATGGCAAACAAAATGAAGGATAAAATCGAAGAGCCAAATAAAAATGTGATTATTTAATCAAGTGAAATTCAAGAATTATTTCTCTCTATTAACAAAAGCATAGTCCTAGTTACAAGACTAACTGAAATACCCCTAGAAAGAGCACTCTTCAAAGGAGTAGAGGCTTTCACACGCCCACTTTGCAAAGCCTAGAAAATAAAACTAAAATTAGTAGTGTCAAAAAGGCGTTACAATAATACGAGCTGCAGCCACAACCACCAACAAATAAAGAATAATGACCGCACGTACAGTGGGCGACTGACACGCCCACACATAGCTCTAGAAATAAACTGTTTTTACAGTTAGAGAAAAATATTATAAAAAAGGAAACTACAATTAAAAAGCAGAAAATCTAGTACAGGACTTTTTCAAATATTATTATTATTCTATATTTATCTTTCTACTCTATTTAATAATTTTCTATAATTTAAGTTTAGTTTCAAATTAATTATTAAGCAAACATTTCTCTCTGTGCTCTTTTCAAATAAACTATGCAAACGTAGTCGAAACATCTGGCCCTAAGGGGGAGACGCAGTCGGGGAAAATGGACGGAGAGCCCGAGGCATAAATTTTATGTGCGCTTCCTTTGGCCACACATAAAAGCAATTTTGATGAGCGACCCAGGGCATTGTAGCCGTAAGTGCGCCACTTTCTGGATGTCTTGGATGTCCAGCAATATAATTACAATGCTCGAATTCCTTGGTCCTTCCTCCTGCTACTGCGCCGTTGTCCAACTCCCCCCCATATCCTTGCCCCGAATATATGTATATATCCTTCTGTACTATATTGGGGCGTTTTTACTACCGTCGAGGGTTCTTTGTTGCACTGCCGTACGGAATGGCTTGCCACGTCCTTTACGTCCTCTGTCCCCGAGTCCTTTGTGTCTGGCAGGCCTAATGGATTGGCATTTATTAAGGAGTGCAGAATAATGTTTATTGCAGCGCTTGAAAACAATGGCAAATACGGCTGGGGTCCTATATAAGGATAATGCAGGACGTGTCTCAAGGCGAGGTAAGTGAAATGCGAAACAGTTTCCTTCTGGTTTAGGCCGGCAATATGGGAATTCAATCAATTGGGTATAACCTCTAATCGGAACAGTAAGTGAAAGCATAGGGCAAAGGAAAGATATTCAATTAACAAGGATGTTTAAGTCTGGAGTTACTTTTTATTATTTTGTAAAAATGTAAATCTTTCCTTTTATTAAATAAAGTAGCTGTAACAAATATTTATATTCAATAACAATTTAAAATTAAATAATATTCCATAATACAATTTCCTGGCAAACGATTTTAATTGCTTTTTTCCTTCCTCTTGACACATTAATTAATTTTCAGCTAATTTTTATACCCTTGCAGGGTATTATAATTTCAGTCAGAAGTTTGCAACGCAGTGAAGGAGACGTTTCCGACCCTATAAAGTATATATATTCTTGATCAGCATAAACAGGGGAATCTTTCTAGATATGTCAGGAAGAAATCGATTTTTTTGCCATTTTTGCGAAATTTGATAAGGGGTTACATCATTGAAATGTTTGATTTTGATAAAAAATTGAATTTTTAAAATTTTTAAATGAAGTATGCAGATTTATTAACTGTAGAAAATCTTGCACAGAACAGTTTTCCGATTTAAAATTAATGCTCTTTTGGCCGAGTTATGATATTTTTAATTTTAAAAAAATCAATAAGTTTTTTAATATAAAAAATCCGATTTTATAATACAAAATAATATTTTTCTAAGTCAAGGAATCATTTCCGACCCCATAAACCACATATATTCTTGATCAGCATCAACAGGGGAATCTTTCTAGACATGTCCGGAAGAAATCGATTTTTTGGCCATTTTTGCGAAATTTGATAAGGGGTTATCATTATTAAAATTAGCAAAACTGGCCAAAAATTTTGATTTCTTAAAATTTTAAATTTGGTATGCAGTTTTTTGAAATTAATAAAAACTAACACAAAACTGCTTTCCGAATCGAAATTAATGCATTTTTGGCTTAGTTATGATATATTTTAATTGTTACCTGCAAGGGTATACAAACTTTGGCCGGCCAAAGTTATCTTTATTTCTTGTTTTCATTTATATTTCATCTATAATTTCTAATTCAATTTGTAACTTTGAAAGCCAACCAAAAATGAATATTAATTTCTGAAAGCTGGACTGTCAACGGCTTTAATTTGTTTACATTTCCTCTTAACACATTTCTGCATTTCCCGCTGAAATTCAGCACGCAAATAATTATAAGGTAATTAGCCTTATTTCCGACATTTTTTTGCCCGCTGCCCATTTGGTTTTTCCCGTGCGTTTCTTTTTATTTACTTTTTTTCTCGACGCTCGATCCCGGTAGCGAACTCAACTGATTTATAAAGCGCATTAACACCAGGATACGATACGCCCCTCCGCACGCACACCCGCACACTCGCACACTTGCACACCCTTATGCCATAGCACACACACACACTCGAAACACGCACAGCCATTACACATGTTTGCACGGTATGTTTATGTGTGCTGTTGACGCCATTGTAATGCTAATGGCTCATTAGCACTTTGATATTTTCGCTCGGGATTTTTTCTCTCGGTTTTTGGTTTTTCGAAAAAGTCATTAGGGTTGCCCCGAGTGGCGGGAAAGGCATTTTGACTGCTAATTTGCTGTTAATTAACTTGTTTAACCTTTTTTTTCTTTCTATTGTTGTTTTGCTCCTGGGCAGGCTGAGGAGCCTGCCTTTACTCCACTCACCTTGATAAACTGGAACGTGGCAATGGGCGGCAGGCGCTTGCTCTTCGGATAATAAAAGCTGCCCGCCGGATGGCCAGGATAACGCGAGGTGATCCGATAGATGACACCCTGCGGTGCTGTTGGCCAATTTGGAGCCGTAAAGGTGAACCCGTTGTCCGTGCCGGCATCCAAGGGATCCAGCTCAACGGTCACGGTATCGATCCAGGAGCCACCCACGCAGAGCTGCAAGCGAAAGGAGGGTATTAAGCCAGGAAGTAGAGAGAGATTTTGGCGGTCCAACTAATTTAATTAATTACCTGCTTTAATCTTAAAGATTCTTCTTTTGTTAATTATATAAAAATAATCTTTAAAGCATCTACTATTTACTGCAGAAATTATTTTCGAGGGGGGTTGCCTGACAACCAATTAATTTTTTCAAAGCGAATTAACGCATGACTGAGCTAGTTAATTAAAATTATACAATAGCCAAACAATTAAGTTTAAACAGGATAGTAAATTCAAAAATGATATTAAATTGATTAAAAACCAATTAGGCATTTTGCTTGGGGGAAATAATTCTTTAACTGTTAATTAATTCATTATTAAAACAGTTTTTTAATAGGTTTTTTTGTTAAATGGTTATTAATAAGCTGGACTAAAAAGTTAACCCTTTGACAAATTGATGTTTACTTTTACTATTTACTTTTTTATTTCCTTTAAGTTATTAAAGAGACTAAAAATAATTTTATAAATATTAATCGAGAGCATGAGCTATATTTTAGCTGGAAAGTAAAAGCTTAAACATTTATCTTTTCATAGGGAAACATCTTATTTTTGGTTATAATTTCTCCAGAAAATTGAAACTAAATCAAACACTTTATAAAGATTCCCCCAATCATTGCTTCCCTCAATTTCCCAAAGCCTTTGATGTGGTCATATCGCCCTAATTCTACTGCCTTTTGAACATGTGCTCTTTATGCAGTTTGAAATACCTGCTCTTTTCAGTGTTTTTCTGCGGGCTTTGCGTTTTATGCTACGCCTGTTGCGGATTGTATTTTGTGGTGCATTGATGGCCAATTCTCACCTCGAACGAATCCACGCCGATGAACCAATCCGGCGAGGGAACAATGCGTGTCATTAGCGAGACCAGGCTGTGATTGCTGTCGACAAACACCTTCGCCTCGCTGCGTCCGGCACCCAATGGAATCGCCGGCATGCTGAACTCGTCGAACACACTCCGCTCCTGAATGGGGGAACCACCAGATGGGGACGTGGAGGTGGAACTAGTGGCAGTGCTGCTGCTGCTGCCAGTTGGGGATTTGCCTGTCTGCATCTGCTGCTGCTGCTGTTCGCCGGCATTGCTGTCCAGCAGATCCGAGCGACCCGTCTCCGCAAACTGTTTGACGGCCGCCGTCGCCGGCTGTCCGATGTGGTACAGTGCATAGTTGGCATTGTGGGTGCGACCTGCAGGCGAGAAAATGGGAAAACCAGATCATCAGTGGTCAGTGTTGGGCAGTTGAGTTATTTTGCAGTCGAAATTTAAGAGTTTCAGAGCAAAAATTTAGATATTTTGTTAAAAATTTAAATAAATATTTTTCTTAAAATAATTAAATAATATTTGCAACAAATTTATTTACTTTTCTTCAGCTTTATATATCTCCTAGATTTTTTTAAGCCAGAGACCTGCCAACACTGCTTATCGGTGGCAAGTCATTAAAATTTAATGAGCTTTAAAAACCAAACAGAAAGAAATGCTGCAAAAATTTGCAAATATTTGCAATTTAGCAGCTCGTTGTCACTTCTCGTCTCCCACTCTCTGTCATTGCAGAGGGAAGATTTTCTGTTTTTGTGCGAGCTTTTTCAGCGGTTCGCAATGGTGTCAACTTAAGTGGCAGATTACGTATACGCAGTGGCTGGCGTCGAATTAAAGCGAAAATTGTTCGTCGAGAGTTGGGGCGTTAAATAAATGGTTGCTATGGGAAATCGGTATGGGAAATTGCGAGAATACTTAATCGTATGTAAAAGAGTGACAATAATTGAAGAGTTTCGAGAGCGCGGAGGCAGCTGTGATGCGGTTTTGGTAAAATAAATGGGGTATATTCTGGGGAAAATATTTAAAAGGAATTATTTTTTTGTGAGGAATAGGATCTTTGTGTGGGTAGAAATACTTCTTTAATTGTTGGGTTTGTTACTTTTTTAATAAATTAAATTTCTTATTCGAATTTACTGGGTTAAGTAGTTAAAATCCTCATCTTCCTTTGGCATTACCCTTTAGTAAAGCCTCTCTGATTACTTGATATCTCCACCAAGGGCCAATCTCCATCTATTTGATTAGCTTCTGAAGTTTATTATCCTTCTTTAAGACCCAGCAACTTCCTGGTCATGTTTATCCTTTGCCTTTGCTCCCGCGCCGCAAGTAATTTAAAACTGCTTCGCTCCAATTCGCGCTGCCCCTCAAAGAGTGTCAACCCGCTCCAATGCCGCCCATTAGCCACCACAGAACCTCCCATAAAACCGACATTCCCATCCCTTCCAGCAGCTCCAGACAGAAGAAGAGCGGAGAGGAGAGGAGCGTAGTGGAGGAGGGCACATCCTGCAGTGGCCTTTGATGTTGGGCCTGCGGTTTTTTGTTTGCATGCTGCTCTTTGGAGGTCTCAGGATCTCGGCCTCATGGAGTAACCTCAACACCAACACCAACACAAACAGCCACAGCCACACCAACACCATCACCAACACACCCTTCGCTCAACTCTTATTTGTCTTCAATTAACATTGCAACATGCCACTTGTGCCACTTTCGCCGCTTTGTCTTCTTTCATCTGTCATTTCATTGCAAGATATTTCTTTGCACTTTTCATTTCCCTCGCTTTTCTTTTCGTTTCGTTTCCGCTTTGCTGCCGCCAGCTTATTTATTAGTTTTCTTCACTCTCTGTGGACTTGCTTTTAATTTAGCTAGTATTTTGTGCCAGTGTAAGACGGCGCAGAGTTCTTTGACAAGAAGCCGTGACTAATGAAAGAGTAAAACTACAAAGCATATTTCTGTCTTTTCAATGTTTGCGCTTTTGAAAAATGCCGCCAGTCACTTTGAGCGTTTTCCCAGACCAACGAACTATGTCAAATGAAATATTATTTATTTTCGCTGGCACACTTTTCTTCACCTTCCTGGCCACTCCGTGTAATTGACAAGTTCCGTAGCTGCTGTCCAATGTGGATTTGGGCAAAAAAAGAGAAAAAAACGTTGCCGAAAAAGGTCCCGTCCGGAGAGTTTCAGAAAAGTTTCTGGGGATTTTCAGCAGATTTTGTTGCATATTGGCAAACAGGTGCAAAGGGGTGGCAGGACAGGTAGGAAAGCAGATTGGCTAATAAATTGATTTTGGGAAACTGTGTCAACTATGCCCAACGAGTTTCCATGTTATGTACTACAAAATGTGCATACACAGGACCCGGAATCGATGAGAGGATTGCAAGCACTGAGCAGTCTTGCATTTCAATTTACTTTAACATTTTTGGTAAAAGCATTTCTGTTTGGCTTTCTTTATAACTAAACGTTATTGCTACTATTTTAAGCTGGCAAGGAAAGGTCAAATCAGAAGATGCAGCTGTTCACCTTCGGCTGCTTTCGCTTTCACATAAACATAAGCACCACACATTAAGGGCAACCCATGGGCGATCAATCAATTACAAAAGGGCCACAGAATAAGCATAATAAATTTGCAATTAAATGCTTAAATTGTGCAAATGGTTTCCCGATATAAGGGACCTCCCTTCCGTGGTCAGTGTCCGCAGTCCGCCACTTAAACGACCGCACAACGCTGTCCCTGCTCCTGGTGCCCGCGGGGCGCTATTCGGTCGGCCAGATAAATGGCGCTGTAAAAATACCAATTTCTGGGCCACTGCGATGAATGGCGGGGGCGTAATTAATGCTTAATTATGCACATTAAAAGCCAAAAACAGCCACGAAGCTGACGGAAATTACTGCCAAGCCACGGACCGTCGTGTGTGGCACGTAATATAAATGCAGGCCACGTATGCCCCATAAATTTCAGTTAGCATTCGAATGAGAAGACATTGCGCATACGCCCCGTATAGCGTTTCCAGTGTTTGCTCTCACTGTCTCTGCCTCTGTCTCTGTCTCTGCCTTGCCATATCATAATTGAAAATCGGACAACCTTGCTCGGTCATAACAACAACATTGAAACATAATATCTAAAAAGTGCAATCTGGCAGCTGGCCAAAACACAACTGCTGCCATGACTCATAGAAAACTCTCGCCTCCTCTGGCGTATGGCTTTTTAATTGGCAGAAAATATGCTCGAGCAGGAGAGTAAGACAGAGAGAGAGAGACCGAGTCAGGTATTAATAAATGTATAAATTCAGCCAATGTGACACACATTTCTTTCAATTTATGACGCACAGCTGACACACTTTTCCCCCCCCCAAGCACACACTATCTCCACACACATTGACTTTTGTCAGGTTTTCCTCTGCGAAAAATGAATTACGAGTTGGTCCTTTTTTTGTTTGTTTTGTTTGTGTTTGTTTTCGTTTGGCTGGATGCTCAATTTCCTGCGATTTCCGCAACGAAAAAATTTAATTATAGGCCATAAATTTGAATTTAATAGCCTAGGCATTAAGTCGCAGGCACAGGCATTGTCTTTTGCACGAAAAAATAAATACAAGAAAAAGAAAGTACACATAAATAAGCCAGGAGGAGAAGGATTAACGCAGCAGCTGAACACGACAAGTGAGGAAAAGGCTGGGAAAACCCCGTAGCACTGGCGGAAAACCGAGTGAAATGAGTGTGTCAGCACGTGTGCCATTTGATGGAATGCTATATGCGTGTGGCCATGAGTATATCCAACGCTTAAATGTTGATCCCCGAGCAGAAATCCATCAAAGCTTAATTCTCTCTCGGGTAAAATGAATAACGTTCTCCGCAAATATAGCACTCACATTTATTTATATACACATGTTATCCATAGATATTTGTTTGGAGTGAAGCAATTAATACGAGCTCGCATATATAATTCACTCTAATATTTCCATTAAGATTGATGAACAACTTTAATTGAAGGCCCGCCAGAGGTGGAGTTGCCTTGATTAATATGCTCTCTAACCACATACTCATTTGCTATTGCAATTAGCTCGATATATATATCAAACGCAGTATCAATCTCCCGCAAATCTATTGAGCAGGCCGCTAATTAAAAATTCATTTTTCCCTCGCCCCAGCGATGTCCCCACCGTTGTTATATTTGCCTTTCTATGCACGCAGCTCTCTCACTTAATTATGTATGTCAAATTTAATTGGCTTGTCAGTCCAGGCAAATAGCAAATGGCACTGCCTGAAATGCCGACAGACACGCTATAAATACATTACAGCCCAAAAAATCCCGGTGTGAGGAGCGAAATATAATAGAAGCGCACACCTGGCGTATACGTAATTTGTGTGTGCCTTTGCCTGTATTATAATCATTGCTCTGTGCACATGCGAATATCATTTCATGCTAAATAAATATTTGCATTTAAACCTAATTTCTGCTGGCACACACGTAAATCTAAAATTTAAGGCCTGGGCGGGAGAGAGCAAGTCTCCAAATCTCTGACAATGTCACATGTCAGGGAGTGAACTGTGAGCTGCCTTAAGACACATCCACAAATGAAGCCACCACCACCAGCACCTAGAGTGACATTACGCATACGCCGCATATGCTGGATGCAGAATGCTGCCATTTCCATGCGCCCAATAAACCCAAGGAAGTGGAATGAGCGACTACGACTGCGTCTGCAGATGCAACTGCGACTCCAACTCCAACTGCGACTGCGACTGCCACTGCCTGTTAATAGTAATTTCTGTCATATTTGCCAAAGCAACTTGCAGTCACGACGCCCGATAAAATGTCAACTTGACTTGACGTTGCCTGTGATGTGGTAACCTAGATTTCGCTAAGGCACTAAGGCATCAACACCGAGTACGTGGGAGATTGCCAGGCACTTCCCCAAGACCCAACCAAGTCCCTGCCTCCCAGCTCAACCCACTTTTGTGCTTGGAGCAACCGCAACAGACACGCAGAGAATATCAAATCTTGGAAGCCACCAGGCTTAGGTGCTACGCATATGGAAGAGAATAATGTGATTTGGTGTAGATACTACTGACTTGATTTTATGAATTAAATTTAAATAGTAAATTATAAATTAAAGTAGTTTTTAATATTTTAGTCTCAAATTTAAGCTAAAATTAGTTGAGTATTTTTAAAGTTATTTTGTATATTAATATATATATATTTAATTTAACTTCATTTTTCTCCCAGTGTTTCGTTTCATTGTCAGCGTTTTGGGTTGCTCTTTTAAGTTTAATGGCTGCAGGGTTGAAGGATTTTTAGTTGCATCCTGTGGCTGCCTCTCTCGGCTTTATCTCTGTTAATTAATGCGTGCAGCTACATGTCGGGATTAGGCCAAGATGT